GAGGTATCACATTTACTGGTTGTGGAATACCGCATCGGCATTCCATATCTTGCGCTCCTAATTAAGGTCTGACGTCTATTACGGTTCGTTCACGCCAACCAAAAGTATGAAATTTACTTATTCGAACTCACACCTCGCGTTTCGGAAGACAACAGAAGGCGATGACACTCATTACCAGGTGTATCTTGGAACTGTCTAAACGTAGCGCATGGGGCTCAGGTGAAAATTATCTTATTGTGAGAGTAACGGACCACTGACTGCAGCAACACAAAGGGACATGTGCAAGCGTCAAGTTTCGGTCTTTTTGCTTGTCTAGCAACGTTGAAAGATGTAGCATCAGACCAAAGTCAATGGCTTTTGCGATCCCGGTTTCCCTTCCGGTACTGGAGGCCTAACTAACTCAGCTATTTGCACCAGGATAGCACGACACCCTCGCCCCCTAATTTCGCCCTCTTTTACCAGATCATTATTCGAGTAAGTTTTTGTCCCACGACAATGAGACATCGGTGTTACTGACATGTTTTAATGTAAGCCAGTACCATATGATTATCTGAGTGCAGCAGCTATCAACACCCCAGAACCGGTTGTGATAATTTATCGCTGGTCCATTCTTTTCACTTTTATCTCATTCCAAGGCTGTTCTAAATACAGCATGCTATATTCATGAACCGTTGTCATCGGTAGCCACACTGTTTATCTGAAAGGTTTCGGTGCTCGGTTGCGATATACACCGAACGAAAAGCTGACACATGTGGTGACCTAGCTCTTTCCCGTTATATTCATTGTACTGTTTCGTACGCCCATTTTCCCATGCGTTTCATGCGTTTGTCGAGATTGCTCTAACTGTTGCCGCACACAATAGGCTTGGTTGCACAGCACGATGTAGTCGTTGAAGTACTGGATCCACAATCCGTTTAATGCTCCCAAAAATCACGTTACATTTGTATGTCTACGGTTTGAACCTATTGAATAACAGGCTAAGCTCTGCTGTGGTGCGGTGTAGACTTTCCAGAACAGCTGTTGACAATGTTGGCGATCCATATAATGCCCGGTGTGCATGATTTCCTGACTCCTCGAAACTATGTTGGCGCCAATCAGAGAACTTCTCCACCTCTAGCCGTGTTTACTTCAGTTGAACAGAAGGTTGTCATGTTGGTAGCAGGGCACTCCAAACTATGTCGCACATAACGCAAACTAAAATACCCGAGAAAATGTGGTTGATCGAAATCCTTCTTCGTCGATCGTCAAACATGCACAAATCAACCAACCGATATATACTAATCTTTTGGAGTACTCATAGCGTTCAGCTGGTCCCGATTGCTTACTTCCCCCGAGATCTTAATCAACACTCACCGCAGGGCAGTCTTAGGCACACAGAGATGCGCGTGACCTTGCGATTTCCGTTGATATGACCAGTTGCCTTCTGTGTTCCTACATCCTGGTTTGAAGTACGACCTACACGGCCACCCTTTATGATGAGTATTAGGGTCAAAAAATGTTCGAAACGGCACCGTACAAGTCGTCCTCTGAAGTCAATTTCATATTTTATAAGCCCAGACCTAGGGATCACGGTCTTTTCGCCACTCAGTCATCACCAGAGATGCCATCGTTTTCCAGCGCTAAATAAGTAATGACTGTTTGTTGAGATGACCTGACGTATTTGGCTCTCTTACGTCGATGCCTGTTAAAAATTCACAATTCTGTCCAGATACTAGAAATGGCTCTTTATTTTTATCCTATATTCTATTTGTTTCTCCGTTTAATTTTCAGTGATCAACCTTCTAAGCCGTCATGTTCGACTGCTGACCCAAGCCAGTATCACAGTTCCCCCCTGGCTTCTCGTAAGGAGGACACTATTGTGAAGTTCCCTTCCTCCCAGCCTGACGTTTGTGACTCAGCTGTTGACGACCCACCCAGTTTTGGATCTGTTAACGGCCCCTGTTCTACTAAGTCAGCGGATAGTGCTAGTCCCCAGACTACTTCTCGACAAACCCCTGCAGCGCTTGACTACCCACCTTTATTCCCTCTCTCAGGAAGCTCCCGCCCTTCGTTCAGTTCGTTTGATGTTTCTCCGTACTGGCGTTTGTACGAACCAAGCAGAATAACTACTCTACCCAAGTCGTTCACTCGTAACCTGTTCTCAGTAGCTAGTACCCCCGAACCAGGTCGTGATAGTCCTCCCTCTGCTGCGCCAGTAGATTGTGATTCACGGAAGCTTACCGTGCCTAAATCTGAAGGTAACTGCACTCTTGACGGAGAAGAATCTTCTTCCCCTACGACTGGTACCGAAACGAATGCGGCTGCGGCGGCTGCTGCTGCTACATTGTTAGCTGGTATTCTTTCCTCCTCGGGTGACCGACTGGATTTCCCCATACAGACTAGTGGAAATGAACGGACCACTATTTGTCATCCCCGCTATCCATACCACTGGATTCGGCGAACGACGCCTTTGAATGAGGACGGTGAGGTACAACACCGGCTGATTACATCAGGTAGCTTCTGGGATCCAGATGAAGTAGGCGAAGACTGTGATCTGCTTTATAACATGTTTGACGCCGAAACCGAACGTGATGACGATGACGTAGATGAAGATGACGATGGTGAAGGAGAAGACGACGAATCGGTCGAGGCTCGAGGAGCATATGATGGTGAAATGGATGATGACGACAGTTTAGCGGACTTAGAAGATTATCTCTTCTACTACCGTACTGGTGATCTACTTTTCGGTCCTCCCTCTCTCACTTCAATTTGCCCACCCTACTTTTATGCTGTACGGGACACATTCGGAACCGAGTCGGAAGCCGACTTTGGGGTTTACACAACGCGCACAATGAAGGATAGCCATCCAGTTGGACAAAGGAATGAGAAGTCGTGGCGTGAGGAATGCAGTCAGCTCGCGGAAAAGGTGAATGATTTGAAGAATAAAATGAATGAACTACGCATCCGTCGCCAACACCGACAAAAGGTGCGGAGCCATGAACAACCAGTCTGCGAGCGGACAGTGCCAGAGAGGAATTCGGAAACCCAAGACAGCCGTACGTTTTATTAGTGTTTTCTTGCACCTCTAAAGGTGATTCCTCAGCGTGAAAAATCTCTGCAGATCTGAAAACATTGGCTTATAAACAATTAACTTAGTGAAAAGGACGTGTATTAAGCGAGATGTGTATTAAACAGCACGGGCGAATCATCCAACGGGTTCAGGTTACTGACTTACCGAACCAAGACGTGCGATAACAAGCGAAATTTCTGCTTGGACGGCATGTACGATGCTTTATGACCCTTGACTAAATTGAGTTAATGAAATGTTGGAAGGTAGTTAAAAGTATTTTAGCCGCATTTCAGCTAGTTATCTACCCCTTTTTACCGAAGTCATTACCACACAGTTTTGGATTCATATGGAAGAATCCCGGTTGGCGGCATGTGGCCGCTCCTGGTTCGTGGATATAATTTTTTTCATTAGTACCTGTCTAATTTATTCCTGTTTGCCTGTGATTGACTTGATCAAATAAAGCCTCGGGATTCGAAAAGACGCTCGATATGAATGCAGTCGTT